GAAAGGGCGAGCATGTTTGGTGTGACGGGGATTCGAACCCGCAGACTGCGAGTCGAGCGCCCTCACAACCTGGCCATACCGGGCCATCATACATTGAAAAACTCAAGTTATAAAGATTTTTCTACATTCTAAAATTATTTAAAGAATTATTTACTGGATATATAAAAAATACACCTAATTCTTTCACCGCCAATTCTAGCATATTTTGACTAACATATATTGTACTTTCTAATAATTTCTAACACTGATTTTAATTTTTTATTTATTTATTATTTTAAGAGATATAAGTGAAAAGAAAAACGTAGAAAGTAAGTCAACCATACTTTAGTGCTATATCCAATGCGTACGAGGCCTTTTGCTTAATGAATACCAAAACGTAGAACGTAAGTCAACCATACTTTAGTGCTATATCCAATGCGGACGAGGCCTTTTGCTTAATGAATACCAGAGCTGAATAAGGCCGACTGGGGTACAACAGACACGCTAACGTGTAGTGTCATCTATGTAGAAAACCAATAAGTACATCTCTTCGCATTTCACATAATAGCAACTTTATCTGTCCAATGACTCAGCTGTTAAACGTGAGGACTGAATATCACTAAAATGTGAGATGGATCCCAATGGTGGGCACAGTAAATAGAACACGCTGTCCATCTATGACTTAAAAACAAACACATCAGCAGTATTTTCATAAGCTATGCTACATATGATTAAACCAAAACAATACAACGATGAAATGAAAATAGTATTATGTGCAAGTAACGAAGTTACTATTTTTTTTTTAAAAAAAAGCTTTGGTTTGTTCTAGTGGTCATGAATATTAAACGCTAACAACGGCATTTCTCAGTACCCGATTTTTACCTAACAGATCCTTATACATATATTTTCGTTTTGTTTATCATTCAAATTAATTGAGCTGCAATTTTCACAATTTTTAATTGAACTCGATTCTCTATAAATGTTTTCGTAAAAGCTTCAAGTCACTTTCTTTGACCTGATTTGGCCATACACGAGGACATTTGAAATGTATTTTTATTCACGAAATCCGTTTATTGTGATTTTCTGTAAGTGATTTGTTTCAACAGCATTATATTTTTTACTTTTAAAAAAATTTCAATTATAAGTGTGCTAATATCTAGAGGGTGGTGTTACTAATACAACTGAAATGATTCAATATGCTTCATTCTCAGGTAATTTTTGACAAGCTGGTGAAAACAAAAACAGATGAGGACAGCTATCAACAAATTGTAACTTTATTGGGATTTATAAAAACACCCTCTGGTAATTTTATTAAGAAGCTCTTGGCACATTACAAAGAAGTGGAGAATAATCAACCTGACTTAGCGCCCCCTCTGTTGGAGACTTTAGGAACTGTCGTCTCTAAGTCGGATGAAACTCATTTGGTGTCAGCTTTCTTAAAGGTTCTACTTTCTCAATTAGAGAAGTTTGGGAAAGAATGCCACATCACTCAAGATTTAGCTACCGTATTTAGATCCTTGGGATACCTAGGTCATTCTGCAATGATTAATGACATCTTGTCTTTTACTGAGAAATGTGCTGGACAGCCATTAATCTCTTTTATGACCGCTCATGTCTTACGTCACGTTTTCCATGAAAATCAGGTTCAGCAGTGGCTTCTTCACACGTTTAAAAATTCAAAAGATGAAGAAAAGAAAATTATTCTGAGGGTATATAATAAACAAATGAAAACTTTACCATTGAGTGATAGTAGAGGTAAGAAAGTTTAATTGGGTTTTAGCTGTTGCTTTGCAATTTTTTTTTTCTTTCAAACTTACAAGCATCTTTAGTGATGTATGAATCCTTGAAATGGTATAAAACTGACTTTCTAGCGTGTATTAAACATTATTGAAGCCAGTGCCATCTAAATAAAACATCGCTTCCATGATAAAAACGAGTTAGTTTTCACCATTTATGGTTGAGATAAAAACATGAAAACATAAAGTTTTTTTGAGGGGGAGAAAAATGATTTATAAAAAATATAGAATAACATATATATTTTAGGATAGAAGCCTTCCAAGCTTGTTCGGACGTACTCCAACTTCTATATCTGTATATAGCTAACGATGGGTTTAATTTTTATGTTCGTAACGTTCAAACTAATCTCTACCTGTGAATATTAGGAAATAATTTGAGCTCGAAGTAAAAAATTTCGATCTCAAGTAGAATTGAAGAATTTATCTAACTTTTATTTCTTGTTTATTTCGACCTTTAAAGCTTCAAATTGTTGTGCTAATCAAAATGGAACTGTTATGTTTCACTTTGCTATTATGGAGATAATGACAGAGTTTAGCATCAATGAAAGAGACAAGTCTTTTAGCAAAAATCTTCCTACATGCTACTAAGTGTAGATAATATTGTAGTTATATCTCAATATCCATGTTTCAGGCCTGTCTTCATTGAAACAGAGTTTTAGCGAATTCGACAGGTACTTGGCAGATCATCTAATGGCGTCTAACAGCCTTACAGAATACACCAAAGAAGTATACGAATGGATGAGCCTGAAACAGTCTCCTAAAGCTAGTCAAGTCGTCCGTCTTGCTCAACGGAAGTTCAAGTTTCCAAAGAAGAAGGACTCTGGAAGAAGACAAAAGAGGTCATGGACATCTAAGAATTGTGAAAGATGGACTCCGGGTAATCGTTATGAGATAATCCAGAACGACTACGAGTTCATGGAGGACTTGATCAGGTACAGAAGAAAGGGACACTGTCTTGCCTACAAGCAGGTGGGACCAAGTAAAGTGAACGGACGATTTTATGCAGGTGAGGACACAGCGTCTAAATTAGATGTTTGTTAACAATTTTCGCGCAGAGCTACACAAGGGAATAATGTTCTTAATGTTCAACTGATGGCTTTAATGGAAGGCAACTAAACAACAACACCCATTTTACTTTTGGGCTACTCTCGTCTGATCGAATACTAGGATTTGACTGTTACTCTTGCAGCACAACCCAAGGCGCCAAACTGTGCAGGCATTTTTGTAACAACGGGCTGCGAACCATGAATCCATTCAGAGACCGAGCATGCTAATCACTAGGCTCGCCGGCTCATTAAAGTAGATAATATTTTACATCATTAATAATATTTTAATGCTGTTGTCTATACATCATAAAATGTGCAGTAAATTCTAATAATCTGTGCGGTTTATAAAACGAAAAGAAATAAGGCACTTGATAAACGTACTGAATTTTACCTAGTGTGTCAAGATTCTTCTTTTTTCAACTTATGTTTAAGACAAATCGTCCATGGCATAACAAAATATGATTGAAAAATATATGAGCATATAGATGCTGTGGGATTTATATTTAACACCCAGTTTGCTAGTGAATGAAACTGAATTCGGGAGATTAGGCGGGCTAAAGAGGTTTGTCACGGTTTTCAAATTAAAACAAAAGAAAAGAAAAAGTGATTTCGATAATGGGCTCGATCTGTTAACTTACAGCGTCAATTAAGTTTCGTTGAGCTTTCCTCTGACATCTATATCGACAGAACTCACTAAAACCGTAGAGAAAACGGCTTTATGGAGCCGAGAAACTAGATTTTGTATGGCGCAACATGTGTAGTCACAACAGTATTTTGTATGAGATTTTGGATTGAAGTATGAGTTTTACTCCCTCATAATTTGGGAACTAGAGCGAATTCGGGCACGATTGTACAACTGAGATTCACGATATCTCAAGAATTTCAAATTTCTATTCAGATTTTTTTAAAAGAACATAGGAAAGCTTTATCTTTATGATAATATATATATATATAGTTATTATAATTTTATTCATACAATTTTTAGATAATAAGCTAATATGGCTGCCTCAAGTGTCTGTAGTTTTGTACATGCTGTATTTGATTAAAATTATCTGTGTTGGATTCCAGCGTTCTTTGGAGGAATGAAAGACGAAGACAAAAGTTTACCTGACTACAAAATGTTCGTAAAGCTAGCAGGGCAAGGTCGATTTTTCAGCAAAGAATTCGAAGTAGGATCTTTAGCGTTCTCGTTGTACAACGGTAACAGTCATTTCTCTCTCAAGGTAAGAGATGGGGTTGTTATGTTTGTTTGTTTTTGAATTTCGCGCAAAGCTACAAGAGGGCTATCT